TGTTGTAGCCAGTGTTATATAGATTTCCATGAGGGTTTATAAACAGGTGGAGATTGCTACTTTTTCTGTTAGTTCTCATATCGTTACATTTGTATCCTGTGGAGTTAATGTGGCATGCTTAATTACCAAGCATTAGCTATTGAGCATTTCACTTGGTATTTAGACAGCGATTTGAGAATTTAAGGGATTTTTTGTTTTGTTTTCTTCCCTAAACTGAAATTAAGCATAGAATATCTATGAAGGTGTTTACATGAGACTGAAGGTCTAAAGACTAGGGATACCCTTACCACAGACCTCTGGTAACCCCAGAGAGGTAGTTTTAATTGGCTATATCCCTATTACTTGTCTCTCTGTATATACCCTTCTTTTTATATATTTTTTTCTGTTTGCTTTTTTCTCACCATTTAGCATATCTCTCACTATTCCTTTTATGTTTTAGTTTTTGCTTCTGGAAGATCACACTAGGCTCTGTCGTAACCAGTGCTGTATATACTTCCATGAGGGCTTAAACACATAAAGGGGGAGATTGCTATCTCTTCAGTTAGTTCTCGTACTGCCAATCCATACCCGTTTGGAACTAGTGTGGTATGCTTTATTATTAACTATCTATTATTGAGTTCCCCCTCATATCAGGCTACACTGTTTAATTTGTCCTAGTACTTTTTAGAGTTACTAATAAAGTTATTTTGTTATTTATTATTTTCTCATTTAAGATCTTATTGGAGTGGATTAGAAATTTTACCTTGTGGTCACTTTCTATTCAAATTATACCTTTGGTTCTCTACTATTTACAGGGTTTCTTAAAGGCACATGTGTCCTTCTGTGGCAGGACTCTTCATCTCTAAGCCATCACTTCCCTTAAATTAGACAGTGCATCTATAAATTCAGGTGTACATACATTATCATCAATGTAATTATATGTTCTAAAAATTATACAACGTCTTAGAATCAATGTATAAATACATTGGGTTGAGGAAAATACAATGAAAATAATAATAATGTAACATTCATAAAGAGATCAATGTAAGTGGAATTTTAGCTTCACTAATTATCTTTCTAAAATGTTCCTTAGGAAATGTAGAGGCATAGTTTGGTAAGAAAATTATGACGCATCTCCTGGAAATAAGGATAGTGCTGTGAAAAGTTACTATATAATAATAAATAATGATCTGACGACATTTATTTATGACTATTAGCCATCCGTTATTTCTCATTATATTGTAACTTTTCACAGCACTATCCTTATTTCCAGGAGATGCGTCTAGTCTCAAGGCAGTATTTGAGCTGAGACCATTAGCATTTATTCCCTTTTTTTGTCCATATTGTATACTGGGGTTAAGCGCCTTAAGACCCCTGGAGTCTCATCTCAGTACTTAAGATTAGTGGTCACACCTGGCACCATTACCCTAGGGTATAGTGCCTTTGGCGGTACCCACTATCTTATTCTCTGTTTTCAAGAAAATTATGAATTAATCTTTGTATAAATTCATTCATAATGTATACAAGCCACTATATTTTTCAGTGATGAAACTTCAATGATGTTAAAACTATAATTATAACAGAGACAAAAGTTCATAGTCCTTTGCTGTAAAATAATTATTTAATGACAGATGATAATCTTGTTTGGAAAGGATTAAGTGTAAACAAAATGTTTTAGGTAAAAAAGATGTTGTTACATAGTTACATAGCTGAAAAGAGACATGTGTCCATCAAGTTCAGCCTTCCTCACATTTGTTTTTTGCTGCTGATCCAAAAGAAGACAAAAAAAAAAACAGTTTGAAGCACTTCCAATTTTGCAACAAGCTAGGAAAAAAAATCCTTCTTGACCCCAGAATGGCAGTCAGATTTATCCTTGGATCAAGCAATTATTACCCTACATTGAAAGATTATATCCTTGAATATTCTGTTTTTGCAAGTATGCATCTAGTAGCTGTTTGAACATTTGTATGGACTTTGATAAAACCACTTCTTCAGGCAGAGAATTCCACATCCTTATTGTTCTTACAGTAGAAAAAACCTTTCCTTTGCCTTAGACAAAATCTTCTTTCTTCCAGTCTAAATGCATGACCTCGTGTCCTATGTAAAGTGCGGTTTGTGAATAGATTTCCACACAATGGTTTGTATTGGCCTCAAATATATTTGTATAACGTTATCATAACCCCTCTGGCGACGTTTTTCTAAATTAAATAGGTTTAAATTTGTTAACCTTAATTGTTCATTTAGTTAATATAAGATAGGAGATATGTTGATTTCTTCGAAGGGATCAACGTCCTCCCAAGTAATACAGTGGCTTGTAATTTATTTTAGTTACAATGGTGAAATTGACATAAAGTAAAATAGGATACATTCTAATTAAAAGACAAGTATATACATGATCGCACATTGGTCCATTGTTAGCACATTACTCGAATACTAGAGGGATATAAGTCAAGAATTCTAAAGCAATTTAATCAATTCTTTATTTAAAAAAAACAAACGTAAAACTTTGAATGGATGGTTCATTACATAAATGACCAGATGTCGTAACCTACAATACAAGAGAGTGCGCGTAAAAAAATAATAATTACATTTAAAAAAAAGTGCATGTGCCTATATATATATATATATATATATATATATATATAAATAAACATAAAGTCAGGGGTACACTCACAGGTCTTCAATAAAGTGGAAACTGGTTTATTCAAATGAAAAAAATCTTCAATACATCCGTGAACAAAATCAACCTTTCGACCCCTAAGAGTCTTTTTCAAGATCTTGAAAAAGACCCTTAGGGGTCGAAACGTCGATTTTGTTCACGGATGCTATTTACACAAATTAATTTACACAAACATTGCATATAGTCTATACCTCCATGCCCTGACTGGCCATCGGTCAGACTAGGCAAATGGCCAGTGGACTGCGATGTCCATGTGCCGAGGCCGACAGGGGAGTTCAAGGGATCTCCCCAGTTGGCTTTTTTACTCTGGCTCAAAAATCTCCCTTGCTGGTCAACCCACTGTTATAAAGAGTGGGTCTTCAATTGACTACAGCCCCATGTCCCCTATTACACCCTGCACCCCTTTCACACCCTTAAGCCCCATGACCTCTTCACACACAACAGCCCCATGTCCCACTTCTCACACTCTGCAGCCCCTGTCCCCTCTTACATCCTGCAGCCCCATGTCCCCATTCCACACTCTAGATCTAGAATCCCTC